CACACAGACATGTATTATATGTATATCAATCTGTATAACCTACATAATTATATCTGTATAGTCTATATAATTTTATATTTCAAAAATACATGATTATATCAGTTTGGGTATTCAGCAAGGCAGTGTGCTTCTCTCTAATTTTTCACTGTATTTAGGAGGAGCTTTGTCCTTATCATCATTTAGGCCTATCATTCAAATTTTGATCCCTATTAAATTTCTCACTCTGGAGGATGCTCAATTCCCTCTTTCTCTTTCACTCCACTAAAAACTGGTTTTCTTTTACTAGACTGATGTTCTCCAAAACTTTTTTGGTCACCTCTTATCAGTAAAAATATTTTTGAGCACATACCCCCAGTATATGAATATTTACTCGTAAATTATACAAATGTACTACTGAACATATTATATGTCTTATCAAACATACATGCAATAGAAATTACAAAGTTGTGATAAAGATGAAATAAATTATATTAAAATTTTTCATTTTATTTTAGAGGTATAAAATATTTTACTCATTATTGTTAATACAAAAATTAATAATGTTTGAGTGAGAACAATGTATTTGAATGCGCTCCATTCATTTTAAAAATATTGGTTTAACACTTTGTGATGTAGTGATTTGAAGGCCTGAATTTAAGTTTAGATTATTTCGAAGGTTGATTTTAATGACTTGTCATAACCAAAAAAAGATAATTCACAAAAATATGTAAATCCAACTGGAATAGGTATATCATGGACTACATTACTGGCTACCATTTTTTTCTTATCTGCCTGTGCTTACAGCATTAGTATCATCTTCAATCTTCGCTTTCTTTGTAGCAATATTTTTTAAGCTACTTGCATCCTAAGAGAAGAGTAGAAATCTATAATCTCTTGGGATACCTCACATATGACATATTATTTACCATGATTTGACATATAGTTGGAGTAGAGGCCAGCATCTATTAAAGAATTAGCAAAGTTTAATTTATTTTTTTAGATCTTAAGATAATAAATTTGGAGTTGAAAAGAGCTTTAGAGGTTATCAAGTCCAACTCTTTGATTATACAGATGAGGATATTTAGGCTGAGAGAAATTTAAGTGATTTGATCAAAGTCACATAGCTCATAAGTATCCCAGGCAAGATCTGAACTCTCATCTTCCTGGCTCTGAGCCTAACACTAAAGAAAATAACAATTAGTACAGGTTCTAATAGTCTTTCCACACCTCAGTTTTCCCTAATGAAATCATCAAGGTTTCATTGATTTGAACATACCACATATTTATCTTAATTTTTTTTCCCCTTTTGATCAGAAGGTCAAAGTGCTTTATATTCTGTACTTTTGGGGACTTCCAACTTATCAGTGCCTCCCTAGTAGTTGCTCAGATCAGCCTAAAGATTTATTTTAAGAAGATGATTCCCAGTAAGAATAATGTAGAGAGGTGGACACATTTTTTTGCATGTCAAGGAAGGTTTGCTTATTTCTCAGCTAAAATCAACAGGACTGCCACACCTTTGCTTCCTGGAACGTAATGAGGAAATATGTTTTGCAAAAAACCAGACTGAATTGAAATAGACTTGCGTAACAGAGCGGCTGAAAATGTTTCTGACAAACTTTACATTCTATTGTTCATGGAAAGAGGCATGGTGCTGAAGTTATTCTGAGGGAATAGAGGGAAATAAGTTCAGAAAATGAAGCTCTTTGCTTACTCAAGTGAACTAAAATTAGCTAAGTGTGAAGTAGGGTCACATCCTTACTCAGGTTGAAATGCTAATGATTTAAAATGTAAAGTGTGCTAATCATGCGGATCTTTAGAAAATCCCCCTTGGTCAGGCCATAGCAGGCCAAGTGGAAAGCCGTCTCTTGCTAACTATTTAGAAATTTAACTATTGAGCATCCCAGAAATGGAACTTACTGACCCATTAACCATGAGAGGTCATACTGGCATACCGTACCAGAATGGCTGTGACAGTTCTTTTAGCTGAGACCTCCTGCTGCTGCTGTGTGTGGAAATTTGAAAATTTCCTTCTTCTCTTTGACTACAAACAATATATTAGGGTCACAGGATCACAGCTTTAGAGCTAGAAGGAAACTCAGAAGTCAATTATTCCAACCTCTTAGTTTCACAGATGAGAAAACTGAGGCTCAGAGAGCCTGAATGATGTGTCCAAAGTCACAGAGGCAGAAGGCAGCAGTGGGGACTCGGGCCAGCTCTCCTTTCTAAGTCCCTATCTTTTACCCTTAAAACCGAAAACTGTTCCTCATAAGCATTTATGAGGCTGTTTATTTTTACACTTACTTTTTTTTAATGTTAAGGCTAAAATTCAATAAACATTTGATGGCTGAATTGGCAGAAAACATCCAGCTACGTTAAAAAAACACTGTCTCTTTTTTTGGGGGGGGGAAGGATACAAATTGTTGGTCTTCACATTTACAGACTTTTGAAGATTTGATGGGCAACTGTTGTTGTTAGCATTCTTGAGGGCTGTTTATAGGGCTGTGTATTAACACTAACCTCCAATTACATCAGTAAAGGCTTCCCCCTCAATGATCCTAGGGAATGGCAAGCCCCTTGGCTACTAAATCACCAGAAGACTCAGCAAAGAGTTCCTAGGTTAGGAATGCTATCTTATTCACATGCTGATGATCAAAGGAAGGTTAGTGGGCTTCTCACCTACACAAAATTGAGAAGACATTTTCAAAGTCACTGACATCGAACATTTCTGAGCAGCCCAGACTTTAAGTATACGGAAGGTTTCTAAAAGATATTGGAGGAATGAACTATTTCTCAGATCTCAAAAGAAGGGAGAAAATAATAAAAAGTTAGGTGCAGTGGGACAGATTCATATTAATCAGAAGCAATTATTCCCCGACATGAAATAAAGTCAACTTCAGGTCTCTGACAATAGAAAGGCAGGTTAGCATTTTTTACTTTGGTCTCTTTTCCTGCCTTTCAGTTTTTCCACCTAAAATGAAAGGACAAATGATAATACTGGTGAGAGGATTTTGGAGGGAGGGCTGACAGAAAAAAAAAAAACCAACCCACAACAACTTGGTTAAGGATTAAAAAAAAAAAACACGCTGCAAACAAAGGTACTAAGGATAGTAAACACTTTCTTTTACAGTTGTCATTTCCGTTCAAGACTTCATGATGACATTATAAAACAGCCAACACCCTCCAACCTTGCAATAAAAAGGTTTTCTTTTTCTTTTGTGGCTGTTGTATTTAATGTTATGCTTCTTCCTTTCTGATTAATTTCAGTTTTGTTGAGGGGGGGGAGGGCAGAAACAATAATATTTTTTCTAGAGAGACTGTAGAGGAATGGACCGGTTCATTCCAGTCTTCTCAGTGGTGAAAATGAGGAGTCTGAAAGCACTCAATTCCAACCCCTTTGGGATCGTGGAATCTTGGAGCTGTTTAAATCTTCTGCTTTGAACACTTACTATCTCAAGGTTCCCCCAAGACACAGATACTGAGGAATCATCGCTCTGAATTTACTAGATATTTTGTACAAGACAGTCTTGACAAGACAGTCTCACTGGTTCCAAACAGGGATGTATTAGCAGTAGTAAATCAGTAGCACAAAGGGAGAGATAAAAGCCAAATGAGAAGCAATTAAATTTGTGGGTTGCTAGGTGGTGAAGTGGATAGAGTGCTGGGCCCAGCTAGGGTCAGGAAGATTTATCAAATCCAGCCTCAGACACTTACTAGCGCTGTGACCCTGGGCAAGTCACTTAACCCTGTTTGCCTGTTTCCTCATCTCTAAAATGATAATGTCCTGGAGAAGGAAATGGCAAACTACTCCAGTATCTTTGCCAAGAAAACCCCAAAGGGCTTCACGAAGAGCCAAACACCACTAACAACAATTACATTTATAGAATCACAATTTAGTATTTCACTCTTGAGGAAAGTTAAAATGTTAAAGGGTGAAAGAAAAAGGCATTGTGAGTCTTTAGATAATAGTAATAACAATAAAGATAATTTTATAGTGCTTTAAGGTTTGATATCTCATATAAATAGTAAATAAATAATAAAGATAATTTTATAGTGCTTTAAGGTTTGTAGGTGCTATTATTTATCCCCATTTACAAGGGAAAACTGAGACAGGGAGAAGTTAAGAGATTTGACCAAGGTTGCACTGCTAATGAATGTCTGATGCAAGATCTGAACTCAGATCTTCCTTACTCCAAGCCCAGTACTCTCCAGCTGCCTTCGGAAGAATCCATTATAGGCCAATGAATGGCTCAATTTTATTGTCTGAATATGTCACAAACTTTTTGGACCTGTTTCTTCCTTTGTAAAATGAAAGGGTTAGAGTGAATTACCTCTAAAATGCCAACGAGATTTAAATCCTAGATCTTATATTATAATTCTATATATTTAAAGGAACATAATTTAGAATGTAAAAAACTTTTTAGAATATTCAAAAGTAATATAATTTTTCTATGCACATAATTTATGGAACACAGGGAAGTATGTAGAGCAATTTTTTTCAGTATCATGTGTCAATTCTTAAGCTCTCTAAAGTAAAAATAACTTTTTTGATGATATGCTGTCGTACTCACTCAGAGTTGAGATCTGGCTACTATATAGCATTGCAGTTGACTAAAATTCAAGCAATTTGGATGGAAAGCAACTACATGCGGTAAAATAAATTTACTTCTTGACTTTGCTCATTTTGCAAACTTATCAAATGTTAATTTCTTTTTAAAATGACAAAGAAGCCCCCAAAGAGATCAAAATCTCCTAGGGTTCCAAAGGAGAGAGTGAGCCTAAACAATTTCTAAGGTCCCTCTCTGCTCTCAAGCTAGATGCTCTTCTATACTTCTCACATTTCATTTGGAAAGTTCAAAAAAACTAGCTCTCCAGCAAAGAATTACTGAGTCCTCCTGTTCAGAAAACAGAAACTTTAAAACATGCTTAATATTTTTTCTTTTAAAATGATATGTAAATATTCTAATGACCTGAAAAGATCTTTCAGCAGCAGGGTTTTAAAAACTGAAATTTGAGATTCTTACCAGAGACAACGCAAACCCCTACCCGTCCTCAGCTGGTCATTAAGTCTTCCCGGTTTACACATTTACCTTTTCGAAACTTCTTGATTTTGGGTAGGTTTTCTGGGAGAGGGCTTACGTACTCAGTGGGACCCCAGTAGAGGTTCTGCCTGGCCTCCCTTCCTGGGAGAGCCCGGGGTGGGGGGCCCCCTGGCATCCCACGTAGAAGGAGGTTTCCAAGGTGCTCCAAACGCCACACGTGCAAGGGAGGAAACTGGTCGGTCCCTAGCGTCTCTTGGGTGGGGTCCTGCCTGGAGGGCATGCGGCCAATGGCTGAGGCTTGAACGCACCTAGCCCTCAGCCAGCCAGACCTGCCTCCCAGGTGCCAAGGTTACACGGTGAAAGCCAGAAACAGAACACCTTCTTTCCTCCCAGGGCAAGGAAATGTGTAAGAAGCTGAGAGATCTTTTTCAGTCAGTCTTCCAGGGACTGGCTTGGAAGGACAAGGCTCAAATGAGGGCTAAGGAATTCTGTGAAGTTAAGGTATGTTTTCTCAGGACTGTTTGAGAGGCAATGAGCTTCCTGAAGTTGATGAAGTCAGCAAGTCAGCTGGGGAAAAGCCAAAGAGAAGCTAAAAAAACCAACTGGAATCAAGTCAACAGCACCGTTCATATCTCTATTCTCTGACTCATTTAGCAGTCTGTCACCTAGAAGATAATTTGCTGGGGGATATTTAGCTTTTCCAATGATGGACAATCAGTTCATTGTTGTTATTCAGTGGTGTCCTACTCTCCATGACCCCGTTTGCGGTTTTCTTGGGAAAGATATTGCAGTGGTTTGCCACTTCCTTCTCCAGCGGACTAAGGCAAACAGGTTAAGGGACCTGTCCTGGGTCACACTGCTAGGTAGTGTCTGAGGCCAGATTTGAATTCAGGAAGATGCATCTTCATGATCCAGCACTCCATCCACTGTGCCACCAGAGTTCGGTTAACTGTGCCTCCTCGTTTCTCTCATTTATTTCCCAGCAGAGTACTCATGCCCTTACCTGAGGGTGTTCTGTCCAAAGAAAGGTAATTTTGATGACCAAAACTTACCTAGTTAACTTGGAGTTTACTGGCTAGATTTCTTTCTCAAAGACCAAGCCTTAACTCCAATTCACTCTGGATCTCATTGGTTGGAGGACAATAGGTCCCCACCCAAGCACCACTTAAGGGTTATTTTTAGGCTTCTAGGCACAGAGTGAATGTAAATAGTAACTGTTTCTCTTTTGGCCAGCAACCCTTAGGGTCTTCCCCTCCCAGTTTGATTTTTTTTTTAATTAAATGGGCCGTCCCTAGACTCACTTTTTTTTTTTGTCTAGGCAATGTGGTTAAGTGACTTGCCCAGGGTCACACAGCTAGTAAGTGTTATGTGTCTGAGGCCGCATTTGAACTCACGTCCTCCTAAATCCATGCCAGTGCTCTATCCACTGAGCCACCTAGCTGTCCCATCTAGACTCACTTCTTAAAGAGGCCTATTCTCTGAATAGAGAGAACTTGAAAAGACCTTAGCTTAAGAAAGGCTGAGGTCTCCTATTGCCTCCCGAGCCATGTTCAGTTGTCCAGATCCACATCTGGCCCCTGGACCCAGATGGCTCTGGAGGAGAAAGTGAGGCTGGTGACTTTGCACAGCCCTCCCTCACTCAAATCAAATTCAATTGTACATCATGTCATCATCTCCCTGATGTCATGGTTCTCTGAGAATGAAGGACCAACCACAACACAACTAGACTTGGAGTCAGAAAATCTTGGGTTCGAATCCTGCCTCAGATGCTTATGAATTATTAGCCCTAGGGCGAGTCACTTCAGTTTCCTCATTTGTAAAATGGGGTGAATTAGAGCACTCTTCCTGTACAGGGCTGTTTTGTGGATCAGCCAATATTCAGTCAATAAATATTAAGTACTTACTATGTGGTAGGTACTGGGCTAAGTCCTAGGGATACCAAAATAAGCAAAAGACAGTCCTGGCCCTCAAGGCGCTTACAGTCTAATGAATCAAGTAGGATAATGTATGTAAAGTGCTCTTTGTAAATCTTAAGGCAGAATAACTGGGAATTACTTCTTCTGCATCTAATGGAGTCACCACTTCTTTTTCAGGCCCTCATCACTTCCTAACTGAACTCTCAAGGATTTAATTATCTTCCCTATTTGCAAACACTTATGTAGCCAGCCCTAGTCTCCTTCCTGTTCCAACTCATTCAACCCTGTTTACCTCAGTTTTCTCATCTGTAAAATGAGCTGCAGAAGAAAATGGCAAACCACTCCAGTATCCTTGCCAAGAAAACCCCAAATGGGGTCATGGAGAGTCAGACATGACTGAAACAACTGAACAACAACAAATGAGTATTTCCATACAACAAAATAGCGATCATCCCTCACCTAATACATGTCAGTATTTTTTTAAAGACGTCACTTCAAAACTCTCCTCTCCTCTTTTCTCTCCTTCCTCAGTCTCTTTGTCTCATGAAGGAGAAGCAAATACTGATCTAGTTGTGCATGCTATTACACATGCACGTATTGATAGGGTCTGTATATTTTAATCCTGGTTAAAGGAAACACAAGGACAACATCCACTCCTTCGGATCTAGCCTCTGTGCAGTCTCTAGTTACAAATGCCCCAGGGAACACTTCAGCCCAGTAGCTGTGAAGAATTTTTAAGGAACAAAAATTTAATTGCCCCCGAGACAATGTAATAAGTATCTGCTCTCCGTGAAAGAACTTGATTTATAATGCATTAAAGATCTGGAAACTGTTTTACCAGAACAAGGGACACAGATGCTAACACTGATGTGCATATTATTCTCTGACATTTGCAAACGTGCCTTTGACTCACTTGACTATGCACAATGCAATGACTAGGGACTTGGAAGAATAAGTGGTGGTGTAAACTCCTTACTACGTAGATTTAAAATTTTTATTACTGTCTTTTGTTTTTTTGCATCAGAGATTTTCCCTTACCACACCCCAAACCCCAACATTGATTTCATGCTTGGAAAAAAAAAAACACTGAACCAAACATCAGAGTAAAGCCAAATAACATAGCTACCACATCTGACAATGCATACTGCATTCCGCAATCGTAGTTCCCATGATGGACCGAAAAGTGCTTCATTATTAGCTCCCCAGGACTGAGACTGTTTATTACAAGTCATCAGAGTCTAACTTCTTTTTAGTGTTATCATTTACATTATTGTACTTATTGATGTTGCTGTAGTTATAGTTACGGCATATTTTGTTCTCTTTCACATGCTTCCTTCTCTCTGTTTCACTCCATCTCAATGACTTCTAAGGTACTTTCTAGATCTACCTATAAGGCATCTAGGTAGCATGGTGGATAGAGCTCTGGGACCGCAGTCAGGAAGACATGAGTTCAAATCCAGCTTCCTATACTTACTAGCTCTGTGACTGTAGGCATGTTACTTAATCTATATTTACCTCAGTTTTCTCAACTGCAAAATGGAGGTAATAGCACCAACTTCCCAGGGTTGTTCTGAGGATCAAATGAAATGATTATTTGTAAAGCATAGTGCCTAGAACACAGTAAGTGCTTAATAACTGCTTGTTTCTTTCTTATGATCTCTGAATTCCTCATATTTATCATTTTTCTTGGCGTGGTAAAATTCAATTCTATTCATATGCCGCAATTTGTTTAGTCATTTCTCAATTAATGAGCCCCTCTCTTGTTTTTAGGTTTCTGTTATCAAGAAGGGTGCTGCTATGATTATTGGTTATATATATGACTTTTTATTCTGTCATTAGTCTCTTAGATCTGTAAAGTGCTTTGCAAATTTTAAAGCATTAAGTAAATGTTAACTATTATTTCTGTTATCATCACCACCACCACCACCACAATCATCACCATCATCATCATCATCATCATCATCAGGTATATTTCCAGTAATGGGTTTGCTGGGCCAAAAGGTAGCAACATTTTAGTGGCTTATTTTATGATCACAGATTGAACTGAAAGGTACCTGCAAAGCCATTCATTGCAACTCCCTCGTTTTACATATGAGAGGAGATAAAATGAATTGCATAATTCCCAAGTGATTTCCAGAGCAGTAGAACAATTCATAGTTCTACCAATACTGCTAAGTGTTCCTGTTGTCCCACAGCTCCTCTAACACTTGGTGTTTCTGGGTTGTTGGTTTTTTTTTTAATCATGTCTCCCACTTTGATGGATACATGGCAAAACCTCAGAGTTATTTTAATTTGCATTTCTCTTATTTAAATTCATTAATATCGAAGTTGCATCACGGTTTGGCAAACCAGTCGGAGGACAAAGTATCAGGAACTTAAATCCTGTTTGAGGCTTTATTATTCACATAGAATTTGATCTTAGGTTGGTGGTAAAATTAGGCTAGTAAACCACTGGACCACTATTGTGTGGACTAATTACTTACTTGAAAGAAATGATGAGCAAATATTTCACTTTGCTCAAGCTCTTTTTTTGGGGGTTAGTTTTCCTGTTCAAATTCAAAGGGCATTGTGTTACACTAAAGTAATATTTACGAGTGGTATGTAAATAATATCTTTATTATATAGATGGATTAGTCCAAACATCACCTAGGATCTAGCTAGGATTGCAAGGAAAGAATACAGCAGAAATGTCCCCAAATCCACTTACCTACTCAACTCCTGGTCTAGTACTTGATTTTCTCTTATACATTATATGCTTGTTTACCTTGAATGGTCAAGTATGTGGTAGTGAATCAGATATTTTGGTTGCTAGAGAGTTCTCATACATTATACATATAAATACACACACATACATATATGTAGGTACGTATGCATGTAATAAAAATAATAATGTATACATGTATATAATAATATGTAATAATATAATATGTGCATACACACATATACATACATATATATTAGCAATTTTCAAAGATCTAAAACACCCCTAAGGGAAATACTAAACTAAATAAAATCTATCTTCCTTCAATTATTCAAAAGACACTTCTCTATCTTATAGAATTTCAGGGTATCTCTGCTTCCTCCATAATAAGGCTTCATCAATTATCCCTTCTCTCTCTTCTACTTTCAATCTCTTTCTTTTCTCTAACAATATATATTTGCTTGACTCTCCTATTCAATTATCAATTGATAAGCATTTTTCTAAGTACCTATGTGCCCTGCGCTGTGCTAAGCACTAAAAACATTCCCTCAATCGGATTATTCCTTGAGCATCATCCTCTTTCCCTCTTTCTTTAGCCACCAAAATTTTCGAAAGATAGGTCACCCACACTTAGTTCACCATTCTACCGAAACTGCTCCCTCAAAAGTGCCTAATGACTTCCTAACTGCTAAATCGAATTTTACTTTACTCTGTATTCATCTTCCTTGATCTTAGTAATGATACTCTTAATCATCCACTTCCTCTGTCTTTAATCTCCTGCCTTGGTTTCCATGATACCATGCTATCTAGCTTCTCTGTTTCATTTACTCTTCTCTCTCCTATTCAAAAAATTAACGATTTTACATCTCACAATGCTC